GTTCGGGCGAGACGCGCGAGCGCGGAACGCGCAGAGTACCTTTGACAAACCTTTGGCCTGCGTCACAGGCATCTTCGACCACGTCTTTAGCAAACCTTTCACCCGAATCGCAGACAAATTTGATTACACTTTTGACCCGCCTTTGACAGTGCGCAAAGGCGTATCAAAGGATCACCTTTAACCCTAAAAACACAGGCGTTCAMAGGTGAGTAAAAACGGCCTTTCACGCCTTTGATTTGGTGGTAAAGGTTTATTCACAGATGATCTTTGATTCGCGTCACAGATCGTCAAAAGCGTGCAAAAGCGACCTTTACAAAACCTTTAACAACACATTTGACGCGCGGTAAAGGCGATTTTTCGTGCCGTGATAGGTAAATGGGGGTTCACTTGGAGTGACCTGTCTTGTGGCAGGTTTGCCATCTTCAGCTCTCCAACTGGTGCTTGTTGCTTTCTGCAGCTGAAACAGTCATTGAGGGTCCTTTTCACTGCAGATCTTCCCTTCACAATCCAGAATCTTTCTCTGATCATGGAGAGTACATGTTCCATGCCAGAGTGTCTGGAAGTGTGATGGTAGACGCTGATAATCAAACGAACAACGTGGTGTGAGGCTGGCAGAATTATTGGGTGCTTTGCATCCAACTGAAAGGGTGCCTTTTCTAGCCGTCCTCCTCCACGTAGTAGACTGTCCGTCAACTGAGGGTCGAGCTTGAAGATTCTACTTGATTTCTTGACTTGAGCTATCTTGGGTTTGGCAGCACCTTCCCTTTCAACTTTGATGCTTGCGACTTTTAGAGTGGCGATCTCTTTCTTGAAGCTTTCTTTTTGTACTTGTGTTAGGATTTCTCTTTCAGCCTTGTTCATTTCTTCTACGGTCATTGGCTCTATTCTTGCTGCATTGTTGAGGGGCATGGGTCCTGACTTGCAACATACAACAGCCCTTCTTAGGTTAGCTCGGTAACGCAGTATCCACGCCACAAACTTCTTTAAGCGGTCCCATTGGGAAAAGCATCTGAAGAGTTGACCAAGGGTCAACCCTGCTTCAGCGTTGGTAGAAAACACTTGTGGTTCTCTCTTGATCTCTGGGTTATTCTCTGCAACCGTTGATACCGAATACTGTTGGTTTGGCCATGCATCTTCTGATTTCCAAAGGAAATCTGGTCCTCGCATCCAACGTTTGTTCTGCAGCAAAGCTTCAGCTGAGAGGCCACGCAAGGTATCGTCGGCTGGGTTCTGTTTAGTGCCAACGTGTTTCCACTGAGGAGGTGAGGGGACTTCGTGGTAGCAACGCAATTTGCCACGAAAGTGTGAAACCGCTTGTCTTCATTGGTGATGTAGCCCAAAACACAGGTACTATCTGTCCAGAAGATAGACTGATTGACTGGTATACCAATTTCCTTCATGACCATTCCATCCAATTGCATTGCCACTATGGCTGCTGAGAGCTCCAGGCAAGGGATCGTCAACTGCTTTAGTGGGGATAACCGGGATTTGCCAATGATGAAGGAGCAGTGGACGTCATCTTTACTGTTGGTGAGGCAGAGATAGGTTACAGTGCCATATGCATGCTGGGAAGCATCTGCGAAATGGTGCAGCTGACGGGAGGTGACTTCCCCAAAGTTGATGGGCTTGAAACAGCAGTTGACTTTAAGGTCTTTAAGCCTGGGAAGCTCATCGAGCCAATTTCTCCAGCATGTGAGGTCCTCATCTGATATGGGGTCATCCCATCCAAGATTCTTGCAACATAGGTCTTGAAGCAATGCCTTCGCCGGCAGAGTAAATGGAGCTGCAAACCCTAATGGGTCACAGACGGAGCTGACCACAGATAGAATTCTGCGTGTTGTTGTTGTTGTTGTTCCCAGTCGCACTTCGTCGCCTTTGTTGATTGGACCTTCGTTAGAAGGGAGGTTCCCATCGTTGTGTAAATAGGATTACGTAACAATCACCCATGGAAAAATCAAATGAACAGATTGAGAAGTTTGAATCTAACATTGACGTTTACCATTGGAGTGATGCATCACCCTGTTTTGATGAAGTTTCAAACAAATCTGAGATGACAGCAACCAAAACAATGCCATTTTTAAGAAGACATCAGAAAATTGGCTATTTTTAGCACTTAATGTTTATGCTAAAAATCCCTCTGAATTGACTGGTCAAACTGGATTCTTAGTTACATGTATCTTGTTTATTGCCATAGGGTATGTTGTTTCAAAACAAACACAAAGGCACACTATACAAGGAATTAAGTCTTCCCTGGGAAGACCAAGGCTCATTTGTCAGTCACCATTGGCGTGCGCAGGCCAAATTCAAAATGACAGGCAATTTGAGTACACAAAAGGTATGCTGTAAGTGAATTTAAGTGTCTTTACTGACAGTCTTTATTTGCCATAAAATTAAAACATCTTTATGTACCAAAAATTAGTACTTCACAGATTACTATTTTATTGGACGAATCTTTAATCGAGGAGCTTACCGGTTGGTTTGGTTCAATTTGATCACAAGAACAAGTTTTTCATACGAAGCGAGGAGCTATTGTACTCCAAACAAAAAAACTTACAGAAAAGTAATTATAATTATGATAATTATTTTCTGACTGTTTCTGGTTACGTTTTATTCAGTTTTGATGATTATAACAAATACCAAGCATTTGCTGCTGTTCTCTTCATCATCCGCCATCTTTATTTATTGGGTGAATTCAAATTAGGGAGAGGAGTTTTATGCCCTTTTATAGCACATGGCAGGCACTGCTCTTCTCAAAAAACGAACTCTTCCTTAGAACATAGTATCTATGCATTGCCCTTCTGCAGTAGTAATGTGAAACAAAATAGGTTGGAAGGACAAAATTTTAAAAAAAGAGAACGGTAAATGTACAAAGGTTTCAAGCTGTAGGTTTCATGTGGGCCTCTCCAGGTTCTAATCAGATGACATTCCCAGCAACCAGGAGCGCCACATAAGTTTAAAAATAATTATTATGAGTCAGTATACTTCACAGACATGCTTTGCCACTCACGCGTCCAGCTGTCTCTGCTGGGGAAGAACGTAGACCGGACACGAGAGAGTGGCAGAAATCAAGCCTATAGCTAGGCAGACTTAGATATAATTATACTTTTAAATTGTGCCGAAGGAATTATTACCATGTATAAATAAAGTTTATCAATCAATGGGTATTTCCTACAAATTATGCAATTCCACCTCACTGCACATGCTTCGATTCAAAAAGTCTTGAAGAAGTATTAATAAGCAACCAGAAAATGAATGAAACAAGTTTTGTAGGGCTTAAATACAAACAATTATAATTACTAATAAAACTTATCACTGGACTGAGAGTTTGCAATATAGAAATAATATATTAATTATGATTTACATTAATTTGAGTCAGAATATTATGTCTCTGTAACATAATTGTCCCCTCTGCAACAAAAGGTAACCTGATTTTTTGCATGCATGTAATAGTCTATCAACATTTTGATATAATTCAATTTACCCCTCGCCATAAATCAGAAGTTCCCACACTGGCAACTTCACAGCATTCCTTGGACCAAAATAAACAAACCTCAATGGTGTAAAAATGTTGCAGAAAGGACATTAATTTTGTGAGAACATCAGTTCTACAGCTTACAAAGGATTATGGAATACCAGCCAGGCTGAAAGTCCCAATTATACAGATTTTGCTTACAAATTATGTACATTTGGTCTACAGTTCTTTTGTTTTCTTTCAGTTTTTTTTAACTGATTGCAAAAGTAATAATAAAATGTCCTCTCCGCAACATATGTTTATGTTAATTTATGAAATAATGACGATAACTCTTAAAAATCTTACTTTTTCTGCATTAGCTACAACCCCATTTGACTACAGCACAGTCCAAAAATGGGAGCTATTTAAGAGAGTTTTGGTTACCCTTTCTTTGTCCAAAATACCATGGAATGACCCATATACTTTAGGTACCGTGTTAAGACAACCAGCAGTTGCTGCCAGCTCACTAGTGTTTGAAACATTTAACATACATGTATCAAGTCCTGTCCAGCAGTGGAAGTTGATTTATTTCTTAACCAAGTTGAATTCACAATGGAAGTGGCTACTTCTCGATTCTCTCAGGTGCCTACATTGTCCCATTATTGCTAGCCAAGGCCCACCAAGTAATAAAACTATATTATTAGGGGACTTTAGACTTGAGTACGATTACAAGATCGAGTATGATAACGACTTTTCAATTCTAGTTTTCAGGCTTCACATTATCATGACACATATCCATTTATCCCATGAGCTACCCTTGCTACCTAAACCCAGCATGAAGAACTAGGGCTCTGGAAATGTCACTGATTTGAAAATCAAAAATCGTACTCGTGCTCAATCGTAGTCCAATCTAAAGCTCCCAAATAATAACTGCTCCAACCCAAAACAGAGCAACTTGTGGCTCACCTTGGATGGGACCATCATCCCTCTCCACACCTCTCCATACCATACATCTCTTGTCCATTGTCTCTCCATACCAGTTGATCTCAGTACATGCACAGTGCAGCTCTTTTCATTGTCTCTTTCTTACATGTATCTAACAATAAAGAGGAAATGTTCTGATTACCAAAAGCAGTTGACATGTATGGACATTGTTATGATTGAGGAAAAGGAGAAAACATCAAGGACTTGAAAAAGTTCAATTAGAGGCTTTTTAATTGAAGGTAAGGAAAAGGGAAGAAGAAGATAAATGTGCTAACAATATTTTAACACATTTATCTGCTTTATTCCATTTCCCCACCTCTAGGTTGAATTCAAATCTTGTATCCAGCACTGCAATAATCCCTTACAGTCAACTCACAAATATACAAAGGACTGTGGGCAAGTCAGACCACTCTGTACAAAAACATTCAAGGCCATTGGACAGTACGGTGATTTTCATAGTATGTGCAGTGTACTAACACACTAAAGGACTGAATAGGCTGTACTTGTATGTGCAATATGTGATGCAACACACAATGTAAAATTTAATATTAGATTTAGGAATAAACTCATTTTTGTCGGGAGGTATTTTTAAAAACAGATACATGTATTAACTAGTATACATGTGTGCAATGGTTCAAACTTATCTAAAAATGCTGTTTTAAAAAAGTGCCAACAACTAGTTAATTTCAAACAACCACGAACATTTCTCGATGTCATTTCTTTCGTTTAAATACATGTAAGTTGTGTCAACGCCTGAGACGCACATGGAGATTGGGTGCCCAGGAACCTGGAGGCTGGAGCTGCTGACCCCAAACCCAGGTACATGTAGCAAGAGCATCGCAAAAGCCTGCCCTACCTGAAACCTAGCCATGAGCCCCGCCTGCCATACCCAGCCCCAGCGCAAGCACCCATCACACAGAGCCAGGAGCTCAGTAGAAATAATAAAAATAAACAATTTTATAAGCAGCAATAATAATAATAATAACAACAACAACAACAATAATAATAATAAATAACAAAATAACAATAAAAACACTAATAGAGTAATAATAAATAAGGTAATAATAATACAGGGAGGGATAGGAGGGTGGGAGAAAACACTAAAAAGCTCCAAAACTGATCAAGACGCCCCAAACACAAAGCACACTAAAAGTACAACCATAAATTGCAACAATAAATCGCTGACCAGGGGGCACAGGAAACTGCTCCGCACCAGGCCCACAACAGTAATGCAAACCCTAGCAACAAAACAAACACAACAGCATGCAACCAAAAACGCTAATAGATGCAAACGCCATGCCAACTACTGAGCAACATGCTCCTTGTCGTTAACTAAGTTAAATAAGTATATTCAACCTTGTGAAAATGAAATGAATATTTTGCATCTAAAGTGCTGTTGCTTATGGCCCACCTCTGCCAAATAATCTGCACCTAATGTTCAAACAGTAACTATGCTTAAACTGTATTTCATAATTACTCCAACTAAAATCCCAAAACAATTCCTCACCTCAGAATGGAACCCATTTGCCATGCAGTTGGTTGCCTCTCTGTCAATCTTAGCATGATTTCAAATACCTTCACAGACAAAATACATGTACGTTGATTACCAAACTCGCATATTGCTTTTACTTAATCTACAGAATCAAGGAATGTTTACAGTACAATAGATAAACACCCTGAAATCATACTATAAAAGCTGTACTTCTATAACTTGTTAGACAAGTCTAAATCTACTAGTTTTCTATCACAAATGCCATTCTCTGATTGGCTACAATACTCACTACCTGTTCTGAACATTGTAGATAGTGAGAAGCATAGCAGTGTGCGGTTGTGCACAATAACTATTATGGGAGCCACTTCTTTGCATTTGCAAGGTGTTTGTGAAGCTCAAACTTAGATAAAGTTTTGAACGACTAGTAGATTTATACTATAAAAACAATTACTAGATTATTCCCTCTCGATTTCTATGCATGATAGAAATTTTGAGCTCATAATCTAATTGTTAAATAGAAACACAGAAAAAGTAGTCAAGCTACTGACATAAAGATGGCACAAGCATAAAAATCTACATTTTGATTATATAACCAAACAAGTTGTTTTCCTATCTTTTTCTAGTGGTGTTTTCCTTAAAGTGGTACTATGACAAAAATCGCATCTTTCCTATCAAAGCCATTTTAAAACATAAACGAGTAGGCTGTAAGAGAAGAAAAATACTGTTTGCTATTTTCAAATATCTCTTTTCATTCCAGAGATATTCAAGTTTTTAAAATATGTAAATTAGCAAAATGATGACGTCATACACTCAACCAAATTTTGATCAAATATGATGAAAAAAGATATCTCAGCCAGTTTGTATCAGAAATGTTTGATTCTTTGTAGGACTCTACTAAATGTGCTCCACAATACAAGCTTATCAGTTTTGTTACCATGGCAACATACTGGGCTCCAGACCTCCCCAATATTAAAGGCATTGCTGGCCACCTTTGGCATTCCATTTTCCTATTTGCAAATGGTGCCTCATATGCATGATCCAGCAAGCACATAAAGATGTTAGCTCCAGTTTGTGGCCTCACTTAACGTTTTTTGAGCTGAAAATCACTAAAATATTGAAATCAAGTGGGTGAGTACTGGAAAAGAGTGAGTTGCCATGGGAACAGAATTTTTTATAGCTGTAGGTGCGTTTCCCGTAGAACTATTAGCCTACCAAGTTTCAATGGTCTGCACTGCAAATTGGCCAAGATAGATCTATTCATAAACTTGATATAATGTTGGGTTGAGTGTATGACGTCATCAGTCACCTCATTTGCATATTTTACACATTTTTCAAACTGAAATATCTCCGGAACTAACGCAGATATTTGCAAATGGTAAACGGCATTTTTATTCTTTCATGGAATTATATGTGATACACCTAAAAAATCAAGGGGTAACAATTTGACCATAGTACCACTTTAAGAAACAGAAAACACTTTCTCCATATTTCTATCAACTTTTGGCTGCGGGATTTTTAGAGATTCCATATCATCCTGTCAAGTTACATTTGCGACAGGAAAATTTAGTTTTGATTCCATATCAAGTCATGTACATGTATGTAATTTGTTTAAATTTGTTTACCCATGGAGCACCAAGGAGTTCACAAGAACTCATTCAGAAATGCCCATGCATTCTAGGATCGAATTGGAATTTGGAAATATTGGTTTTTGAGGAGAGGGGAAAACCGGAGTACCCCAGGAAAAACCTCTCGGGGCAGAATAGTAGAGAACCAACAACAAACTCAACCCACATATGATGCCGGGTCTGGGAATCAAACCCAGGGTACATTGGTGGGAGGTGAGCACTCTCACCACTATGCCATTCCTGCTCCTCTTAGCAAGATAAAGTACTTTTGGATGAATAACCTGTAAAGTACATAATGCTGAGGAGCTGGGAATGAGAATGAGAACATTTAATAAGTATAAACTACTACGTTTGGTCTTTGTGATGAAATCTTGAGCAATCTTCCGTCTTGCTGTATTCAGCTCAGTAATGCTCAGCCAATACAGTTAAGACCTCAGTTTGAGATTTTCCCATAATGACTTAACCCTTGGTTATACATGCAGGGCTGTCAATAAGCGCTGTAACCCATGACACCTGCTACATGTACATGTATGGCTGATAAGACATTGTTTTGCAGGTGGTGTTTTCAAAAAAGTTTCATTTTTGCTGTCCATGGTAAAACAGTCTTTTCATTGAGCTCTACTTTGGAAAGCATTTTCACTTACATGTGCATGGAGATACAAACTATTTAGAGAAGAAAACCGGATTTTAAGTCATTAAAGCTTATATTTGTAGGCAAACACAGAGATCCATCACTTTTTGATTTCAAAATTTATTTATCAAAAGTAACAACCAGTTATTAATAGCGGAGCCCCATATAGGAAAGAAAAGGAAACCCATGAGTTGATTTTCTCATGGTTGTCATGGCTAGCGGTATTGCTCGGGGGGGTGTAATGCACAACAGTGACGATGACGACGACAACAATGGCATCGCGCAAGATGGCGGCCACACTCCAAATAATAGGTTGACAGAGATGCAGCCTAGGTTTACTGTGTACTTCTTAGATATTGGACATCCATGCTATGATCAATTGACACCTGTGAAAACAAGGTATCTGCTGACCAGTATCATGTGAACATATCGCGGGCTCAAGTTTACAGCTCATCAAGGTCATGTTTTTTTTTGAAGTTGACCACTGACCAAGTGCTGCTTTTTTTTCCAATTGTATCACAGGCTCATGTCAGGTTAACTTGTTGAAAACAGGGCAGGACTGTTCGGAAGCCAGTTAACGCTAACTCAGGATTAAAAGTTAACCGAATTTTTGCTTTTTCTTCTATACAAGTGTTTTTTGCTGCTTTGTTTTGTTATATGGTGATTATTAAGACTCAAAACAGAAGGCCAAACATTACACAGAAAACATCACCGCAAAGTTCCAAAACTCAAATCAAAATTCTACCTTTTCTTGGGTTAGCTTAATCGGGCTCTGAGCAACCCGACCCGGGAGCTACGCTTTTAGGCTGGCCTAAATCTATATATTAATGTCTCCAACTCACCTCAAATGCGATCCATTCTCTTGGTACACTGTGGATCAATTGCCTTTCTTGTTGAACACATCCGTTTCACCAATGCCAGTAGAAGAAGAATCATCAGTGTCTACTAGCTTACTTCTAAGCCAGGAGACTGACTGGACGTTTTGTATTTACCGAAATAATGAGCGATAATTTTGCTCGTATTGATCACACTGCTGCTGGCCACCATTTTGATAGCCGCCATTTTGAAAATCGTCGAGGAGAAGGCCCTGGGGACGAGGTTGCATTCTCATCCAGTCTCACTCGGTCACAAACATACTGCCACAGCAGGAGCTTTCGCACTTTCCTTTTAGGGTATACCTGTATATCGAGCCGAAAAAAGTCAGTGTCAGTTTATGTGTTGTTTTATAATTGGTGAAAAACATTTCAGGCCACGCCCACAAAACATGGTCTTAGTACCTCTCAGGAGTTCTTTTCAAAATTTCCTACGAGCACCCAGTCCATTCTATATGGGAGTGCCCCCCCGGGCTTCGTCATCACCACCACCACCATCCACAAAAATGGTCTAAAGATGTTCACACTGCAATCATAACGACATAACGTCCTTCTTATGTCGTTATGTCGCTAGTGTACTAGTGTGAACTAGGCCTACCGCTAGCTACCAGAACACCATGAAAATTCACCCATGAACAACATTGCCGCAGTTTCCTTTCGAACAGTGTCATAATTTCAAGTAAATCCCTTCCATTTTAACTAAACCATTAAAACGCCACACTGGCGAGAAGCGTGGAAGAACATAGGGAGGCTTAGCTATTTACCAGGAGAGTGTTGTAGTTCCAAACTGTGCATGTATTTGCGATTCCATGCGGCTGTGGTCCACAACTCTTCGCGTGCTCCAAGAACGTTATTTCCGGCAATGCCTACTGAACTAACAATTACCAGAACTTGAATGGTGTAAAGAGAAGAAATTCTCACTTCCACAACGGCACTCAGAAGGTTATTTAACCCGCTCCAATAATTTGCATTTCAAATGTGATTTTTTTTTCCTGCGACTACATGCAACCTGAAAAAGATGCCGTTTTTAGCGTGTCCTGGTTTTTGCACAGTGATTTCGAGCCAATTTAACAACCGCGAAAATCTTAGGTATTATTAAGAGCGCGTTTAAACAAAACAAGATGCGAAGCAAAGGCAAAGGAAAATGGTGTTTAACTATGGCTAGTGGTGAGGTAACCGAGGCAGTTGCCTGGATAATGTTTTTGACACATTTATGACTTCAGTATTTTTGCCTTTTTTCTGTTGTGGTACTTTTTAACTATTATTTTATTATTCGTTTTTCTCCTGTCTCGGTAACGTGTTTTTTTTATGTGGTTACTTGCCTGAAGATAACTACGTGTAATAGCTTGTAACGTGCGTTATTAGTTTTAGTACATTTCTTTTCATAAAGGCAAGTTTTCATATGATACGCCAGATCGCTGCAAGAAAACCAACGTTAAATTTGGAATCCGAATTCGTCTTTATACATGTAGATAAAAAGCATTATCCTTGTAGAACCAGTGACGGATCTAGAGGAGGGGCCCGGGGGGGGGGCGCCCCCGCCTTATTTTCAGTTAAAAAAAAAAGAAAAAAAGTCCCAGAAGGAAGAAAAGCCGGCAGGGCAAGCAAAACAACCCTCTTCCTCCCCCCTCCCCCTCCTTAGCTAAGGTCTGGATTCGCCACTGAGAACGCTATCTCTGACTGGAAAATAGTTCTGATCAGAACGAGCCCGGCTCTTACACGTCAATTTTCTTGATTGTCGTTACCTCAACATCCACATCGTGGCTTCCTGAACTTGTTAAACATCTTTAGAATTATAGCTTCCATGTGGCTTTAGTAATGTGTAATACACGTTACCGCTGATAACATAACGCTGCCTTTCGTTTTGACTAAGGTTTTGTTCCCTTAGGTTATCGTGTAATATATTTTTAATATTTTATTTGATTATTTTTCTCCGACTGTATCTTCATCGAGTAATTTCTTTTCATAATTGAAGTCTTTATTATACAACAGAGGTTCAAGAGCTATCATAATAGACCTTTGAGAAGTTTCATTTAAAATTACTGGAAATATATTCGAGGCTTCTTAGTCTAGTCTCGTGCATGCCCAGTTCTCATATGTCCCTGGCATTCATATCCCAGTTAAATCCACAGTGTATCTTCGAGTTACCGCCAATGTACTCAAGCTCTTGCGGTACTTTGCCAACAACTCGCTGTCCGCCATTTTGGATTCTAAAGAAGTGTGGGATAAATTGAGCCTACGTGAGATTAACGACCAAGCATTCCTCGATGATGTGCTCATATAATATCTTTTCCCAGTTTGTCCACCCGAAGTATCGCCGGCGTGCCAACTAAAGATAATTGAAGACCTGGTTAAGCCTTTATATAAATAGAAACTATAAGTGCTAAGATATAACAGAACCGCATTTTTGTCAGAATTGCCAGCGGCATCAACGCCTTATGAGCGGAGCCGCCGACTATGTTTGTTTTATTTTTTTGCCTTTTGTAAAGATATTTACAAAATATTAACATGTAAGGCAAGGAAGCCTTTTGAACTTTTCAACATATAATTGAACACGCCTCAAAGTTCTAGTGGCTCCATGCTGCAATGTCTCTATAAGCTCAACCGCCTTAGAAGCTCCTTCTGAAGTAACTTAATAAACTTCTTTTTTCTATGTTTTGCGTCCCGTCGATGTTTCCGTTTGGTCTTGTTTGGTAGGTGGTATCGGATGAAGTGACAGTACCGGTGTTTCGTGGCACCTTTGCGTCCGCTCCTCAGCTTGCCTGGGCGGGAAAACCCAATGAACCATTTTGGATACTTGACTGATTTATACTGGACGTATCCCTCAGAATACTCCTCTTTAAAGTCACATGACTTCATTGCAGCAAACTTCTGTTTCCTCACCTGGATACAGTTCACAACTGTTAGCTGATTCACACATTTTTGTGTAAAGTCCTATTTGTGGAGAGACGGGGGCGTGTCTGAGGAAAGGGCGGGAACGTCTGTAATGAAGGAACAGTCAAGGGCAGTGCAGGGGTTGTTTCTGTTGTACCCGTTTATAGCGGGGACGGGGACTTAAAAGAGGGAATTGTGCACAAGTCTATCGCGGTGTTTTTTTTTTTCTTTTTGTATAAGGCGTGACGCAAGAGAAACGTCGAAATATTACAATTCTAACAGGTTCCAAGGTTCAAGGAAATAAAACAAAAGAATTTACACCAAGACTGACTTCGCCTCAAGTTAGAATCTTACGCAAAACAATTCTCACCCTTGTGACGAGTTTTCCTTTCTTGTTCAGGCAGAGATAGCAGTTAGTGGTCTCTCCTCGAATCTTTATCCGACCAAAGAAGTCTGACTCCAACACCAGTCTCGCTAAAACACGAAAACAGGATGATATCAGAGCAAAGAATAAATAACACTGAAAGGAATCTAAAAGTAAGGCAAAACAAAGCTGTCAGAAGTGCAGTGACACAGCCAGTTCTGACTTAGGATGGCTCACGATACTCAATCCTTCAAGTCCTAGGCATTCTATCATACCTGAGTTTCCCGATCGTGATAATGCAGTCCACAAAAAAAAATGTGCAAATTTGCAAGGCGCCTCTTAGTAAATAGAATCAGATGGATATGCGGTGCTACGTACGTGCTCTGAACTGAACTGATTCTAGAGTTTGCATCAGGGGGGTATAGAAATATGTTTTGGCCTGAAATACAGTATGCTTTTGCAGAGTCGGATGCCGGGAAAATCCGTCCCAAAAAAAACTCCAGGGAGTGTACGCCCACAGAAAGAGAAAAGAACTGAAATGTTCTTTAACATTTGCCCCTACAAACTATGTCGCCAAGGACAGAAGAATGATTCTCATTTTTTTTACTCATCATTGTTGGCACAGAAACATGTGGCATAAGTTTAAACGTAACATTTTCAGTTTTCGAGAAGAGAACGATGCTTAAGGCGGAAGTCGTTTTGAGTTAACTTTCAGTGTTGCTCTGTTGACGGAAAATGCATATGTTCTTGCTGAGAGGCCCCGGTTCTCTGGTTGACGTGATAACCGAACGACGAACATCTGGAGTCTGGAGGAGCGAGGGCTACGACCTTTCCCGATCACGTCTACTCCGGCCCTATACTAAATCGACCTAAATCACGACATAAAACTCTTAACACAATTTAGTAATGGTCTCACAGCAAACAAGACCAACCTGATGACTGAAAGGAATAAAACGAATCTACTCTACTATGAAAAAACAAAAACAAAATCAAAAACAGTGTGACGCGTACTTACATAAATGTTCTCTCCCAGTACATGAAAAATACAGAAGTTAAGTTCGGTTTCCGTTTGAATCAGTTAAACATAAATTAACAAGCCCATTACCATAATGTGAGCCGTTTTTCCCGCGAGCATCCAACTCTGTTTTCTTGATTTGAATAAACCGCCCCGATGATCTAGAATAGACTTGAACCTTTTTCTTAAAAGGAAGGCCAGGCCCAAAGTCGCAGACCTGGCACAAGGAAAGAATAAGAAAAGTCAGTTTGATCTCTTATCACAGGCGTAGTGATGCTGGCTCCGTGTTACATATCTTACCTTACCAATGGACTTCATCGTTGGACAATTAGGAGTTGGAGCTGGTAAACGTCTGTCTGGCGAACTCTCCATTACAGGACTTGTGCTCAAAGCTAATGGAAGGCTAAAAATGTTAGAGATGTTTTGTCAGTCATAATGAGAGAATTATAGCAACACCTAGGTGGCGTGTTAACTCAAACAGGACGTTTTCAAACTGTCAAGACTTACAGGATTAAAATAAGGCCACTAATACTCAAGGACGAGAGCTTGGTCTTCATGGCAAAGTTGCAGAACTGCAAGCAATTCTGCTTTGTAAAGACGTGTGATATTAACATCAACTGACGTGGTTGTGCACTTTTATACTGTTCGTTGCATGATGGTATCAATTGGCGCTTCATGAGCGAAAGCGAGACGAGTGGGATTTTATGAAACGCACGTGCCCAATCTATCCAGTTACTCCTAACCCCCGAAATGAAATCAAAGTTTCTCTTTGTTCGATCAGTGGTTAACTGATATTTTTTTTATGATGGATTTCCGAAAATATAAGACTTGACACAATTGACGAAATACAGGATTAAAAAAATGATAAAAATTTACAACATTTTCTCCCTCACCACAAAGGAAATGAAACACAGCTCCTACCCAATCGGTTTATTTGTCGTTAGTTTGTTTGATTTCCAAACTGTTTGGACGCCCACTCACTCCGCCCTACTCAACTTTTTTCACAAGAAATACATACATTTTTGATCAACACCACCAACTGTGCTAAGGATATTTTCCTTTTGGCGGAGAAATCACAGAAAAACATGCCTGGAGCAATTTCGTTCCGTCAATTCTAAGAGTTAACATACGTTTAGAAAATATAAGATAATTTTGGAATCTCGTAATCTGTTGAGTTCGGAAAGTAAGTAAAAAACTACATCTCTATGATTATGTAGACTTCTTGTTACAACCTATTAATCAATAAGGTTTGTTTCGATATCATCTTCAATTTCCGGTGTTAAAGTCCTCTTTTTTAAAAACCTCATATAATTATTTGACTATTTTCAATATACGCAGTAAATTTGACTGAAAAGAGAAAAGGGGTGAACATTGTTTCTTTACAGTAGGGTTTTCCAGAATTTCCAATAAAAAGAAAATCTTTAGTACAGCTACCTGAAACCTGGATTTCGGTTAAGAAGGAATGCGGCCCCTTCTGGATCACAAGGTGGGTGGCATGGCTTTAGAAACCATGGCTTTCAATTAGGGCGGGGGGCACAAGTACTCCTGAGTCAAGTCCCCCACCCCAAAATGCAAGGAGGTTGTCACTTCGCAGAACTCGCAGTCTAAGCTAAATACCAATCATAGTTTCCCTACACCCACCCACCCCCCTCCCCCGACCAAACGGAAATTGACTTGTGTTTTCATGTTTATGGGAACCTCATAGGCTCAGGTCTGCAGTCTTTAGTGAATGTCTTCCTGATGAAATACAGACACCTGGCTTTTCTTATGTTAAAGTTCGACTTCCTCAAGGGGTGCAATAAACCGTTCTAAAAGCAATTTGTATTGGAAAGATTTGAACTTTGCACACCAAAGTGATTTTAAAATCGTCTTTTCTGACAAACTTGACAAACGTTTTCGGATCCCTGCCGTCTCTCTAACATCGATTCGTCTGCCTCCGGGCCTCAATTACGATACTGCCTTCTTTTTGACCCAATGGTAGGCCATTGCTTTTTAGTTTTTGACATAACAGATGTAGCTTGGTCACCCAAGCTGACTGACGGAACACTGATTGCGCTGTCCGGTATTGTAAAGCTACAGGTAAAGAGTTCTGTTGTGTAACGAGATTCACGGACAGAAAAGACAATGCAGGTTAGAGGTAGAACAATCATTAGGTTATGATCAATATTTAGCCGTCAACATTGAAAACGTCCGAACAGCTGTTAACAGCGTTAACCGTCATGAAGGAGCTTTGCTTAAAGGGAAAAAAACCGAACTTGAATGTTGACGCCGGACACAGTAATAAAAAAACAGATGTCTCATTTTGTGGCATATTGTCAGATCTCCGACTGCATAAAGAATTTCCTCGGTTTGAATGTTTTCTAGAATTTTTGGCTTAAAATTGCTGAGGCGCTTATAAGAACAAGGCCATAAATGCTGCTGGAATTAAAATACAACGGCCTCCTGGAAAATGGTGTAGAGTTAGGGAGTTGTTCTTAGTCCCAATCCTCCCGCGCGCCTCTGTTTTTCATTTTCATTCATTTATTTCACCATTATTTCATTTTTCTTGGCCATTTGGCGAAAAAAAGGTGGTTTGATCAAGACGTACATCCGGACTGGAAAAACATAGACTATCGCTAAATTGGTTGATCATCCTGGAGGGAAAGTATCTGAAATCCAACCGAATGAGCATAACAGTTCTACAGTTTTCGTCAAAACAACTGCTCCATTCAACTGAGTGACGCAGCATTCTTCAGTGAATGATACTCCCCGAGAATTATCAACATTTAAATACCTCATCAACATTCAAAAAAAGTCTAGTATGTTATCGGATCGCTTTGCTTTTGTCGCAGTTAGGTTTCTGGATGAGCATACTAACTGAAACAGCTTCAAAACAGGCAAGGTATTTTCGAATTAGCCTCTTCGAACCTTTTGACTTCTTTGCTAACAAATCGTTTCCTTTATAGTTAAAAATGTTTGCTTTCAATCATACATTTTGTAATATAACTACTCGGAACCACAACCTCTAAGTATTCCTACAATTTTTGTTTACAAAAAATATATTTTTATTGATTGAATCTCTATTGAGTTACAAGATCTGACTTCTCATGAAAATAAACGATACCAAAAAATCACGATACGTCGCAAAATAAACCTAGCTATACCAAATACATTCAAGTCTAAATGTCTATGAGACCTAAAATTGATTCCACTCTTAAAACAGGGTTGCCACCCACCGGAACAAAAAAATCCTTGACTTTTCATTGACTGTAAAGCAATTTTCACTGACCCTGCAGGATGACTATTCTGGCCATGAATCAACAAAAATGAGGATGGCTCAGACAATTTTAAAAACAAAAATGCCTTGTCTATATACAAAAACATCTAATAAAATAATTTGCGACAACCTCAAGATAAAATTCCTTGACTTTTCACTGACTTTGAACACGGATTTGGAAACTCCCCGACTTTTCCCTGAGCTTGAATAAAATATACTTTTCCCTGACTTTTCCCCTGACGGTGGCAACCCTGTAAAAATGCTAAGACGGAAACTGTTACATGTAACTTTACATATCACTTTCTACATAATCTATTGAATCATTTACACTGAAGAAATTTACGAAATTTCGGATGTCAACGACTATCCGTCTCGTCATGGCCCATGCAATAGAAGTTATTTGCTCATCGCGACACAGGTGAAATTGCCATGATCAGCTACTACTCATTACATACAGTATAGCCAAAGATACAAGGTTATAGTTTGCACGATTTGAATCTATTTACACAAGATTGTATCCATGGAAATAAGGTAGAAGGCTACAAAGACGGGAAGAGAAGGTTAAAAAGTTGAATATTGATCATTTTAGCGCTCAACGTGCCCCTTTCCCCTACCGTACTATAAAACAAAGAACCAAACAAAGAAAAAAACAAAAACAAAAAAAGCACTAAATGAAAATAGAACTACAATAATTTTAGGGATTAATGACAGAATCAAACCCTTTCTTTTCCACACAAGACACATGCCAGTGTATTAACTCCATTTTTTTCTGAAACGAATGATGAACTGAACGCAAATTGAATTACTCAGAAAAGAACATTTACTGAGCTTGCAACCAGTACCTAGATTGTAATGGGTTTCACCGTGACGGGCTTAAAAGGTTTTATTTTTTGTGGTTTGACTCGCATCCATTTCTTCATTTACTTCAATTTCAGCCAAGTCACCACTCCACTTACTTCCAGTTAATCTTCGCAATAACATCCCAAGTGAAAAGAAAGATTCATATTTGTCTTAGTACAACAAACGAGTTTGACCCCCTTACATGATATTATTCTACCATTGAAAGAATTAGTTAATGAAGTAATCTCTAACGTTCCAGAGAATTATCTTTTTACATCTAGGTTAAGATGGTGGCGTTAGAAGTTTTCTACCAAAAACAAAGAAACTAAATTTGAACTTTTGGGTCGCCACGTAGAAAGGGGGGATAAACATCTTATGACAACTCAAGAGGAGACTACTGAAACTATACTGGTAGACAGTCACAGCGTTATACTGGAAATCCATCGCAAATCGAATTGGTTCTCCCTGAATGGTTGATTTTGGCTTAAATTAGCCCAATTGTTAAGTGTTGGACTGCGGTAATTTAGTGTTTCTACTAAAACAATTAGACTTGACGATCTCGTTTTGCGTGAGGGGCATAAGTTACGGTCAACTCTGCTGTGCCTCGTTGACTCTTCGCTGATAGACACCACGAGCTCGTAGTCTAATTGTTAAGTACTAAACTGTTACTAAACTAAAGCTGCAACATCAACAATTGCTCAACGTAAACTTCAAAACAAACACCAAACTGTTGATTAAAAAACTTCTAGACTCAAATATCTGTCAAATGAAAGAGAGTTGAACAGTGGCCTTGTACTGTTAACAGACGCCACCTGGCCCTTGCCCGTTCAAATGACACTGGTAAGCTTTTCACAACGTCTGACAAATCGCACACTGGACATCCCTTCCTTCCTCTCTGCGAACAGCGTCATCCAAAAGATCCCTGGGAAGTCTCCTCAGAAAGCTCCGTGCTTCTTTCTCCGAATCTCTCCTGGCGTAAAGAACGCAGAGGATATGCTTCAGTTTATCTGGCAAATTCAAGCGGTCAGTGATGCCTAAAGCGATCTTGACATCGGTTCTAGAGCTGTCTTCTTCGCAAATAAACTTGTAAAGCGCTTTGGGGTGATTGTAAAACGTTGCGTCTCGCTCAGACCGCACGCTGTTGACGCGGCTCCAGATATCGCTTGCGCTGCCCAAGAAATCATCATCGTCGTCATCACATTCGTCGTCAGCCTCTTCTTCAGAGTCATTTGATCCCGTGCGTGTGGATCGAGAGGTCGAACGAGAGCTGGAGGCTGGCGAACCTGTAAAATCCAAAGATAATCACTTGAAACGGCGACTAATCTAGTAACTCCACGTATCAGCACGTAAGGGACAGAGAAATCCTTGGAAACCTCTCACAAATCATGAGGTATGGTTTTCGACCACTTTCGTTTCCGAATTAATACAGGAGTTTAAACGGTTGAATGAGCCAAGACACACTAACAGTTTTGACTTTGGATAAATCTTCGAAGCAGACGACACTGCAGAGTCCCGCACACTTAAAAGAACTACTTTGAAAACAGAAACAACAACCTCTCTAGGAAATATACGAAATCTGCGCCCGGGCTAACCTTTTCTAACTTTTATCTAGTTAATCCACAACAAATTTCTCCTCAATAACATAAATACCAAGACAGGCGTACGGGTTATTAACAAAAGGAATTAGTGCACTAGACGTACACAAATTCTCCAAACAAACGTAAAAAACGTACAGAGATCGGTTTGGAGAATTAACATGTTGATTGTATAAAACAACAAGCTCACTTCTATTACTCGGGGTGGTGACCTCGATATTATTGACCCTGATTTCTGGCTGTACATCCTCGTTGACAAACACCTTGCCTAGCTCTGTTCGTGCATTCTCTTCGTGCCCCTGACTTTGTCTTCTTCTTCCAGTTGAAGGCTGCCGGTCAAAACGTGGCGGAGGACTGACACAGATCAGCATTCCACGCTCCAGGAGGTACTGGCCTGTAAAATACAAACCCAAACAAGAGATTGGTTGATCCCGTACCTACATCTTCGCACTCTACAATCTAAATTAAAGGTTTGGGGTGGCAAAGGAACCAAGTGAACACGTTCTTTCAAACCAAGAATACAAAAGTTAAAAATGAATGAAACAAAACTGAACGCCTTTCTTACATGTAAGTAATAAAGAATTAAAACAAACTCTATTTATGATCTGCGATGTCGTTATGGAAGCTTGCAAGTCAATAAACCTCAAGAGGTAACGCTTTGATGCCTAACTAAACTGGTTTAAGGCTGTTTAAGCTGGATCATTCCTCAAGATTCAGGTGTAAACAGGGTGCTAGGTAAGGCTAAGCCTTAAGATGGGAGAGACGAAGGAAGAGTTCGTTCAATAAAATATTTTTCTCCCCACCAAAGCGCAGCCACTAATCACTCAGTCAGAACACATACTAGTTACCAGCTCACCGAATTCCAATCCCGTTTCGGTCTCCGTGCTTCCAATGCACACACCCAGATTATCATATCCATTATGATGAACATAGTTCTCCATCCACTCAACTAGCGCCGCTCCTGAGAAACACTTGCGAGTGGCGTGCAGATCTTTGAGCATTGCCTGGATGACAAAATCTGCAGGGGCATTGGCACTAGCATTATGCGAGCTGACGCTGACCGATGACGTTAATTCGTCAATCCGAAACTGCTGCTGCGTAATGAGCATCTAAATGAAAAATGAAACAACATCCTCTTAATAAAGTGTTACTGCAAATGGAGACGTCAAAGACGTGTACCGCTAAAGAAGTGGAAGGCTGATGTGACTTCTACGGTTCGTGTTATTGGTTCATTTGCTGTTGTTTATTAATGTCGGTTTCCATTTGAAAATACACTGCTTCACATCTGTATCTAAAGGGTGCTGTTTCTTGTATTACCCAAAAGAGACTACAAGCTATGAGCGGCCGGCGAGTTTCCACAAGAAATAGACGACGTTGTTGGTGTTGAAATAAAATGAAGATACCAATTTCAATCTAGATATACCCTCAACTGAACATCTCAATGTGAAAACGTACGTTTGAGGCCTAGCGTTACACCACAAGTTACACTGCTTAAAACCAAGAGAGGTAGTACAAGGTTTATTTACCAAAGGGCCGAGTATCCATGACACTTAACAACGTGTTTACAATAAAACAAAAATCCCTTGTCGCAATTTTGTTATTATTGTACTTAACTTTTGTTAGAGGTTCTCACCTGTTTGTAGAGGGAGTGGTACATGGAAATAAGCCGGTGTGTTGGGTTGGTGTATAACTGCAAGTACTGCACGGTGGGATCCTTGAAAATATCAACACATCAATGTTAGATATCACAACATAGCGTCCCCTTAAACTGTCTGTCCGTCTGTCTGCCTGCCTGCCTGCCTGTCCGTCTGTCTGTCTGTCTGTCTGTCTGTTTCTTCCTAGTCTATCCTCCGTCAGGGATCACATTCTACATCCAGCCTCACCTCCTGTCCATAGTCAAAAGAGAATTATATTTCTGGCACCAAGATAATAAAGATTTCCACTAGCCAGAGACAAACCGCTTCGTCTGTAATTCTATGTTATCAGTTTGACTGTGTTGACTAACTGGTTCGGCCTAATGACAGATACCCAGGAAGGATGTATAAAGCACAAACATAGGTTAAGGTGAAGGCAAATAATGAGCGCTTTGAACCTTGCAGTAACTAATGCACCACAAACTCGGATCGACTCATTCGACAGCAAACAATTTCAGTCTTTTCGATTTAGCACATAGATGTAAACACCCTGTAGTTAAACGCTACCACTCTGACTCACCATGGGTGCGGCCAATGTATCGTAAGCCAATCCATCACCTCCACCGTAGAAAAACCGCATCAGGTACTGAAAAAAAAGAAATACACAGAAATAAATACGTGTGTAGGAGAAAATAGAGAACAGTTCTTAGGGACACAGAGTTCAAGACTCAGAGGACTATGACGTTTCACTAGAACTGAATACGTCTGGTGAATTATATTACTTTAAAGAGTGATGGTCAAATCATAAAAAAATATTTAAACATTTATTTCAAAGAGGAGAGAGAAAATACCCTTACCGCTACAGCCTGTAGGAGAAGCTGGCTTTGCTGTGAAGCTGAAGACTTTCTTCTCACCAAACGATGCGATTCCTCCTCGAAATTCTAGAAAAAGTACAGAGGAAAAACCAGTAAGGTTAAAAAGTAAGAATAAAATCAAAAATGCAACTCTCAAAATTTGTGTTTTTGTTGTTTTTATAAACTACTTCGACTGTTTATCACTGCGTTACTGAGCAAATGGAAGTATTTTTAACACTTATTGTTGGACTTGGATGGAGTGACCTACAAAAATGTACCACGTTCCGGCTAAACGACTAACCCAGTCTTGTGGCTAACATCACTATGTCTTTCAGATAGCCAAGAGGCTTAAACCTGTAGCTGTAGATCGTAAGGACTTGAGATTTGCAACCAAATGAGAGTGTAAGCATTCAGACCATATGCCAGGCTGACAGATTACTGATTCAAAAGGCTATCTTTATAGTCGCATGGAGCGGTGCAATGTGGCTTCCTTCCCAAGAGCTCTTTATGGGCGTCACACAATCGCGTGACGAGCCAAAAAAGAGTTTCTTCGTTGGAGTTGCCACTCGAAACATTATTAGAAATAATGTTCTCATCTTCCCCATCAAAAAAAAAAAAGAAAAAAGAGAGNGCGAGCCGAGCGCGTAAGATCTTCCTTAGCTTTCCTTTTCAGACCGCGCTCGTCACTCTCGACTCAACGATTTCTTTACGCTCTATACCCTACTGGGAAGCCTGTGCACAGGTTACTCAGACAATAGCTGTCTAATACCGACCTGTGCCACTGCAGTCCAGAGGTCTGTGAGAAATCTATTGAAGCTTTCTGGGTACAAGACACCGTGAAATCTCTGTAATTCACGTGACAGGAGTTCCATGGCCGGCGTCAGGCGTCTTCCGATGCTGAATCGGCAGAGATCGAGGTCAAGTAAAGACCGAAAAACCTGTTTGAAAAGCTTGTTTATCTGAAACAAATAAAGCATTGAAGACAATCCACACCTCTGAGTACTTTAACTTCAACCTTCACTGGAACTGTTCAGAGACAACTTTACTTGTTAACACGATAAGCTTTTATAAAAAAAATATTACAGTTAAAACAAATTTCCTTAGTTAGTGTAGCAAGGTGTAGTTCTTTATTCGACATGTTAATGGACAAAATCGATAACGAAGGCCACTCCAGGGGAACTGTGCGAGTTAATCTTCAGTAAATCCTAAAATGTTTTATTGACAATACTCCTTATTTTCTTCCATTATTTCTGCTGCTCTTTGCTTTCCTGGCTACTAAATCGATAGCGCACTTAAACTCACTCTGTAAATAACTAATTTAACTTGCGAAATCTCCAGTCTGCAAATGTGCTCAGTGTAATCATTCAGCGTCCCTGGCTCGCGAAGTGCTTCTGTTCCTGGTTGGGGAACATCACTTCTACCTTCGGCTGTCAAACAAAAAGCGATCACGCAACGTTAAATAATGCCGACATCAAAGTGACAAAACAAAAGCCAGTAGACACAAGGGATCAAATCCGTAGTAACGGTCGAGGTTGTTATTGCTGAATTCAGTTTCCTTTGCAACTGAACTAGGATAGTTAGGAAAAGCATTCAAAGATTGCTGCGTGCACAGGAGAAAATATTTTGTTTTAGTTCCAAACAAACCTACATACAAATTTGGTTACTTTTCATTTTCTTTCATTTTCTTTTTGTTTTATCATTTACTTAACTATTTGTTTGCATCTTTTTTGTGTGTTTTTTCTTTTGTTTTCTTTTTGATTATGCATGTTACAACCACGGTAAAGCATATTATTTTTTTCTATCTACCCAGCTTGTTTAGTTTCTTACTATTCTGAGTAGATTTTTTTGCCTAATTAAGTTAATTGTTTTATGCTGTTTTTTTTCTTTTTTTGTAAATCTAGCAAAGCCTATTGTAGAGACAATGTACGAACTCACATGAAATTAAGGGTTCCCCACTGGGACTTCTACATTCCTTACACAGACTACCCTAGTGAAGTATTCAAGCCCAAACTCCCTCATATATCACGTAAGAACTACTATAATAGTACAGTTTACTCTGCAGAAGTATCTCCAAACTTTCCTAATCTTAAGTCATATTATTTTGTCAAGTTCTTTTCCCAATACGTAGACCGTTTTAGCTTGGGCGGTTTGTTGCCCCATTTCAAGACTCTTTGCAACTCTTGCTTTCTAATTGTCAAATAGTCGTGTGAATATGAATGAATATTTTTAGATGGTAAAAGAACACCCCTCCAGAGAATATCATGTGGCCTGTAATGGGAACACAACCCACCCAAGCTAAAAAGGTCCATAGCATCAAATAAAAAAAAAAATAGGCTACCTGTACAACTACTGGGAATGCCATCCAGGCTCGGTCCATGCTCGCAGTACGACAGTGAAAGTTCATATTCAGAACTGCTTACAAGACGCCGATGATGATCAGATAGCATGGAATTAGGACTGCTAATAGCTGATGTCACATGGTCTAAAAGCCACGAGAGAATGCTCCTCAAGACGGCGACATTACTCATTCTCACTGCCATCTGAGGAGAGAGAACAACACATAGAAAATGGCGATCACTGACTAATATCGTTCCAGTTTTACGGGCCGGGAGAAGCCAGATAGCTCTCTGGTGCCCGAGCTAACTCCGGGTTCCTACATATAAAGGAACTAAGGGAAATGCTACTCCCCTGATGGGATCTTAGTCTATCATTATACTCACCCNCCCCCCCCCCCATTCGCGCATAATGTAAGGGTGTTCATAACACACCCCTGAGTGAACACTTTAAAACCCCAGCCAGGCCCGAATCCTGATCCATCGATCAATACTACAGACACTTACCCACTTCATACATGTCTTCAATATTGGTATTATTTTTACTAATGCTAAATTTAGCATTTGGGGTAAAAAGTCCAAGTTCTTGAAAAAAAAAAGGACACATCAAAGTACAAGTGTGCTGATTGGTTAGGTGTTTGCTTTCTTCTCAAATTGGAAACAATTCATTGTATTTTGCAAACAGATGAAATTTATACCTTTTGGTATCAACATTACAGAATTCTCGAGTTTGTCTTTACAAAATATTTTATACACAGCGCTAGCTGGGCAACTTTGATTGCCGATTAACAGCATTCCCCAATGTCATTTCCTTTCTTCTGATGTGCTTAACTTTGCAGAAATAGTGAGAAGATTAATGTTGAGTTTTTTTTAAACTACTATTGGGGTAGAAAGTGTCAGTTCAGGCCCCAGTTGTTCGAAGGCTGGATAACGCTATCCACCAATAAATTGCTATCCAGTGGATAAGATGGTTGCATCTTTGATATGCCTTAACGTGAGTGCATGATGCACTTATGAGTTCATATGTGCCAAGTCATTGTTTGCCAGTAGATAGGTGTTAACAACAACAACAAAAAACTATTTAACCAGTGGATAGCATTATATACCTTTCAACACCCTGGACCAGATGGACAAGAGCTGGGTGGTTTGCCAGTGAAGGAATACAAATGACAATCATCAATTCAAATGCTTTTTCATGTTATCTTTTTGTGTAACCGTACAATGTGAAACAAACCTGTTGAGTAAGTGGTTCAAATTCACCGGGGTTCATGGTTGTCCTGGAGATTCCATCACATGGCGGTATAAATGCCCCTAAACCACAAAGAAAATTACAGCAAGATTGATGTCAAAAAATGTAAACAAAATGCCTGTTAGTTTATTTTGTTTCCACGAGCCTTGGTAAAAAGGTGACCCTTCATGTGATCAGTAAAAGGCCCTACATGTATGTTCATTGCAAATGATAAGGAATGCCCAAAAGCAGCAACAGCAACAACAACAACAACAACAACAACAACAACAACAACAACAACAACAAGCTATTTCTCAGAAAGAAATATTGCTTCGTTTCCGGAAAGATATCCAAAGTCTGAGAAAGGCTGGGGTTTTGATATCTTGTGGATGAGAAGTCCTGGGGTGAGGGGGATATGTGCTAATGCGCCGCTTTGCACCGCACTGATCTGCTCAGTTGCCAGAGCCTGGGGTTTTTCGTCAAGGTGAGGTTTAGTACTGAGCCTATTGTAAAAGAGAAAGGGCTAATTAATTTAAGTTGTCTACACATGAATCAGTTATTATAGTCAACGCACTTTGAAATGTATTTACTTGTGATACTTCACTTTGACCCTGCCGTACGGGAGGGGGGGGGGTGCTCCCTTACATGGGCTATATAGGTATGTTCAGCGTCAGAGGGACATGTTTTTTTAAGACATTTTAAGTCAGAAGTACAGTATCGATTTTGGTCATATTGGTCTCAAATTGGGTATGATTTTTGCACTCTAGTCTTGAATTAGTTATGTTTTTTAGAAGAAGCTACTTTTTTCATCATTATCGATAAGACCAGCAACTAAAACCATTCACAATACCTTTAGCATCATTCTGAACTAGAGAACTACGGCAGGTCTGAAACAGGGTATTAATTTAAGGGTCAGGCCATAAATAGGTTAGATAAATCGCAGACTTTGATCTTAAATAGGGTAAGTGCTTTGGGAAGCGGGCCGCACAGCCCCGCCAAATTTTTCAGAAATTCAAAGTATTGTGTGTGAGGCTAAATAAAGCTAAGAG